CAAGAAGAGCTGGTTTTAAACTGACTTCTCTCACGGACTGGCTCCTGCTTGGCACCCCATGCTGCTGCTTCTGATAGAGAGGCAGCAGAGTAGGGTGGCAGGGGGCTCCCCAAGAGTGGGGTCGAAGCACACAGACTGCCACCCTGTCCCCGGTGACAACAGAATAGTCAACTAACTGCTAAGAATTCATGCAATTATTCGACTATTCAATTATCCAATATCAAACATCCCTACTGCCCAGCCCCATTTATTTCATTAGGGTATTAATGCTGAAGCTCAAATTACAACAGTTCAGTGCTCAGCAATTCAACAGTTAATGCTTACATTGGAGCAGATGGAATGGAGGTTATGATATGAAAGAACAGAGAGGTGGCACAGAGAGAGGTCTTAGAAAAAAGTGAAAGGAAGATAAGAAAAAGTGCAGAAACAGCATATATCCTGAAGGGCAACATAAATTTCCCTCCCAATGATGCTGATTAGTGACCAAAACATGCCACTTCTTAAAACCTTCTGCAGACTAAGCTAGTCAGGACATGTTAGCTAACGTGTTTTAACTTCACATTTCTAAAGTCCAGTCCAAGCATTCAAGTCTACGTAAATCAAGTATCTAACAATATCACAGCGACTAAGAGCAAAACTGTTGTGTGCTGTGAGGTCACTGGGATAATGAGCAGTAAAGAATACCTTGCATGTAGAGAACACCTTGCATCGATGATCTGGTATATTTAATATTCAGTAGACAAGAATAAATTTTACTTCTCATGCTCAAGGTTGTATGTGGACAAGTGAATATTTCCATTTCTAGTATCATTTTGCAGTTAGACACCATCACATGGCTGGTATTCTTTCTGACAACTGATTACCCATTACCCAGTAGGAAAAGGGTTTAAACTAAGGCTTTGCAAATAGTGTAGCTGAAGTCAGCGTACTTACTGTAGCATCTTATGTGCAGTAAAGTCAGTGGGGGCTGCTCTCCTATCCTGGGCTACTCTTTTCATCCAGATGGAGTGCCAGTGTCGACAGGAGAGCACTCTGAGATCGATTTATCACGTCTAAGCAGATGCAATAAATCAATAGCTGGTGGATCGATCACTGCAGCGTCGATCCCCAGCATAATGGAGACAAGCCCTTGTAGTTTGCACTTCCCTAGAATTTTCTGAATCAGTGGATTTCAAATTGCTCTGCAATCAAAGACTCACCTACCTTGAGCGCAGCTGAAAATATTATACCCGTTTGACAGATGGGTAAACAGTCCCTCTGAAGTCACCGAGATTGCAAGGCTGTGATTGAGGGCATATTTGACCCAAAGATGTTGGCTTCAACGTGAGTTGTGGGTGCTCATCATGTCTGGAAAAAAAATTAGGCCACTTTTAAGTACTAAAGCCTGGAAATTGTGGCTAACATTAGGCATCAAAGTACACAGACCCCAAAACCTTCAACTCCCCAAATCAAAAGTGGACTCTCCTTGCTAATGGTCTCTCTGTTCTCTGGAGCTGGGTTAGTATTACTTGGGGCATGGCTTCTTTGGTCTGCATGGCCCTAGGAGACTATAAAAGGAGAGGAAAGAAACACTAAAACTGAACTCTGACGTTTTATTTTGTGGGATCATGGCATTTGGGGAATTCTATCTGGGAAGCAGTGATTCAAAGAGATTTGGCCATGGTGTACATGAGCTCTCAGTGCAATGCTGTGTCCAAAAGAGCTAATGCAACCCTGGGATTCTTCATCAGAGGAATTCTGCATAGGAGTAGAGAGATTATTTTACCTCTCTATTTGGCACTGGCGCAACCACTACAGAAATACTGTGGCTGGTTCTGGTGCTGACAATTCAAGAAAGATGTCAATAAATGGGAGAGGGGTAAAAGAAAAGCCATGAAAATCATGAAAGGATTAGAAAACCTGACTTATGGCAATTGTGCTACTTGAATCAATCTATTTAACTTAACAAAGAGAACGTTAAAGGATGACTTGACTATAAATCCATGGGCTCATCTACACATATAGCAGTGCAGCAATGCAGCTATGCTGCCACTGAACTCTAGCAAAAATGCCACTAGGTTGATAGAAGAGTTTCTCTTGTCACTTGTAATTATTTTACTTCCAAGAGAGGTGATGTGTCACTAGAAACTCTCCTGTGGTTATGGCACTGTCTATATCAGGATTAGGTCAGTATAACTAAGTTGCTCAGGGGCGTGGATTTTTCACACCCTGTAGTGTCACAGTTACACCAATGTAAGTTTGTAGTGTGGACTTGGCCAGAGTATTTACATGTTTAATAATGGGCTCTTCAATCGAGCAAATGTCTAATACCATCCCAGGGCTGTATGATGAAGCTAGAAAAATTCAGATTGGAAATAAGGAGCGACTGTAGAACAGTGAAAGATAAGTGTTCCAGCGGTTAATTTGCCCAGGATGATGGTGTAGTCTCCATCCCTGACCTTTTTTAAAATTAGGATGTTTTTTAAAGGGGTCTGCGCTCGGAATAATTTTGGAGGAGTTCTATGGCCTGTGGTGCACAGGGAATCAGATTAGATCGTCAGAGATTCCAAAGCCAGAAGGAATCATGATCCATCAGAGAAGGGAATTGGACTTACTCCATTTCCTCCTCCAGTGGTGACGCGGGTGCTTGCTACAAATTTTCAAGGGGCAGTGAAAATGATGCTGTCAAGCCCAGCAACACGCCTGTCACAATCCATTACTAGACTAATTATTCAAAAACAGAGTTCCATCTTGATGGAGCAGCATTGCTCATCTGCGCAGAACCTATTCAGAGTTATTACAATGAAGACCAGAAAAGTTATGAATGTTGCAGTTTCTTCTAGCCTTTCTAGCAGTATTTGGATAAGAATCGTCAGCTTAAAAGACTGATAATTTCCCATTGCTTAGCCTAGGCAATAGGTTGACTCCTCACCAAATAGATTTACCATTTAAAAACTTAATTGCATCTGCAGCTTAAACATTCTCCCCAACAGCATCTGGGAGCATTTGGGCATTTCAGGTGTGGAACTAGGGGCCTGCATTTGCAAACAGAGCGGAGCAAGTTGGTATAGAAGCCTTTGGTTAGAGCAGCTTATGTACATCAGCAGGCAAAGGCTGGAGAAGCTGGGGGGCAGGTAGTTGTGTTTTTGTTTTGATCATATTTGGCTGCACTTGCATTTCCAGCCAGGTTTGGGTAATGTCCAGTGCATTGTTTGTGACTAAGGGCAGGTTTCCTGGTCTCAGATTTCATTTCCACAGCAAAAAGATCAAAGTTTGAGCCACGTGTGCAACTGGGGTGTTTGCAGTGAGCAACCGGTAACTGCATGATAAGCACACTCAGTTGTGCTCCTTCGTCCCACAGACAATGGGAAACATGGAGGAAGAGGAATAACCCAGGTCTGACCTGGATTACAGCCTGCCATCCTTCCTTTACCATCTGACATTTTACAAAAAGTTTTAATACTCTGAGATTAAAGGCACATGCAAATGTTTCTCTATAAAACATTTAAACTTACAACCTATAAAGTCAGTCCTCCTTTTCACTTCCTTTATTTGGCATATATGGATTCCTATAACTCACAATTCTTATGGAGAATATCATAAAAGATGAAGTTCCTTTCATTTACTCTCCTTTGTGCACCCACATAGCCCATATTAATGTAGACTGATGGAATGTACTGTATTCTATTCCCAAAAGAAGAGTTTGTGCTGCTTCTTTGTAGACTTTGGGAGGAGGGAGGGAAGAAGTATGCCCTGAAGTTAGGTACATCATAAACTTAGCGCCAGGAACTAGCAATCAGCTAGTCTTGCATTCTAACCTTTAGAAGCTTTAGGGGGTAGCCGAGTTAGTCTGTACAGAATAAACTTAAAAAACAACAAATAGTCTGGTAGTACTTTATAGACTAACAAAACATATAAATGGTATCATGAGCTTTCATGGGCACAACCCACTTCTTCAGATGACCGGAGTTTTGAGTTTAGAATGTCCAGACCCAAAATAAATAGGGGAGAAGGGAAAGGAGGGAGGCCGGTGGGGGAAGGAAAAAAATAGAAGGGGGCAGGAAACAAGAAGCAGAGTATGGAAATATCAAAAGGAAAACCAAACAGGCAAAACTGGTAATCTATAAGCATCTAAAAATTGGATAGTTAAAAGAAACAGATAAGGATCATAAGATAGCAAATTAGAGGGGAAGGGTACTAACACAAGAATCTACACAAAGAGCTGTTGGCACCTTCATTGTTTGTTGGCTAATAACGTTCCAGCCAGCCATTATCTCGATTGAAGCCAAAGGTGTGAGAATTAAATTTGTGGATGAATTATAATTTTAACCCTTCTCTGTGTATTTGGCTTGTAGAATTGGTCTTTAACAATACAGCCACTTGGAGATCTTTTGAAGTGTGACCAGGTAGATTCAAGTGTTCACCAACAGGTTCTGTATGTTCCCTTTACGGATATCTGATTTGTGTCCGTTGATTCTTTCCCATAGGGACTGTCCAGTTTGTCCAATATATATAGCAGTAGGGCATTGCTGGCATTTGGTGGCGTAGATTAAATTACTGGATGTGCAGTTAAATGAGCCTCATTTGGTAGCTCATGTTATTGGCTCCAGTAATTAATTTGCTTGTATAGATATGTGGGCAGAGTTGGCATCATGGACTAGGTTCCTGGATGTTTATGATGTGACTGTATAGCATAGTTACTGGAAGGAATTCATTTCAGATTGGGAGGTTGTCTGTAAGCAAGAATAGGCTTTTCCCTTCAAGGCCTCTGAGAGTGAGGTTTTTCTTCTTCTCCAGTTGAGTATTTCAGTTCCTAAAACGTTTATTTCCTAAAACTGAAATACCCACCTGGAGAAGTAGAAAAAAAAAGCTTGACAGCGCCAAAAAAGTACCCAGACATGAACTACTTCAAGACAGACCCAAAAGAGAAAATAACAGAATTCCACTTGTTATTACCTACAGTCCACAACTCAACCTCCTCCAATGCATTATACACAATCTGCAACCTATCTTGGAAAATGATCCCTCACTCTCAGAGGCCTTGGGGGAAAAACCTATTCTTGCTATCCTATCCTAGTCCTGCAATCAGCCACGTTGCCAACTCTGCCCACATACCTATACAAGCAAATTCATTACTGGAGCCAACAACATAAGCTATCAAATCAGAGGCTCATTTAACTGCACATTCAGTAATTTGATCTACGCCACCAAATGCTAGCAATGCCCCACTGCTATATATATTGGACAAACTGGACAGCCCCTATGGGAAAGAATCAACGGACACAAATCAGATATCCGTAAAGGGAACATACAGAAACCTGTTGGGGAACACTTCAGTCTACCTGGTCACACTTCAAAAGATCTCCAAGTGGCTGTCTTGTTAGAGACCAATTCTACAAGCCAAATACAGAGAGGAGGATTGGAATTACAATTCATCCACTAATTTAATTCTCATAGTTATGGCCTCAATTGAGATAATAGATGGCTGGGATATTATCAACCAAATAAACAATGAAGGTGCCAACAGCTCTTCGTCTTCTTTTAACTATCCAATTTTTAGATCAGGGTGGCCAACCCATTCTGGGCAAAGAGCCAAGATATCAGTGGATCCAGCGCAAAGAACCAGGGCAAAGTTAGATTGGGGTGGCCAACTTATTCTGGGCAAAGACCCAAGATAGCAGTGGATCCAGTGCGAAGAGCCAGGGCAAAGTTTGGAGGAAAAAAAAAAAAGACTGCCCCTTTTGCCCCTTTAAAAGGAGCCCCTGGTCACGTTTGGTTGAGGGAAGAAAAAAAGCTCTTCCCCTTTAAGAAAACGCATTTAGAGGCTTTTTGGACACATCAGGCTCCCACCAGCCGACGCCATCTTTATTTCTATATCTTTAATGACTGCACCAGATGGCTCCCCTGCCCAGGTCAGCACAGGGAGCTGGAAGGATAGGGTCGTTTTAGAGGGCACAGGGGAGGCTTTACAAGCCATAGGGGGAGGGGGAGCTTTGCCAGTCACACCCTGGGGAGAGCGGGGGAGCCACATGGGGCTTGTGAGCTGCAGGTTGGCCATGGCTGTTTTAGATGCTCACAGTTTACCAGTTTTCCTGTTTGGTTTTCCCTTTGATATTTATATACCTTCTGCTTCTTGTTTCCTGCCCCCCTTCCATTTTTTTCCTGCCCCTTTTCCCCTATTTATTTTGGTTCTGGACATCCTAAACTCAAAACTCCAGTCATCTGAAGAAATGGGCTGTGCTCACACCAACTATCTACATGTTTTGTTAATCTATAAAGTGCTACCAGACTATTTGTTGTATTTTAAGTTTACTAATCTTTGTTTACGATAACCCGCTGTATGAATACAAGCAACATACAAAATTTCT